GACTACGACGGCTGAGGGTCCTGCTCCGCGTAGAACACAACAACTGGTGAGCAGTTGCACAAGGTAAAAGTTCGTTGTGAAGTGATTGACAGCAGTTATTTTGAGGTGCAAGTATGTCCCTCAGAACCGTTAGTGTCGCAAAGCGGATTAACAAAAACCGAGGCTTTCCCACGGCGACCTCAACAGATTGGGACACGTCAACTGTTAGGCTCAATCGCGCGCGCGGTTGCACCATGTAGTGACATTCTACCCGATTTTTACTATCTGCACGATACATCCAATCGGCACAGCGAGCTATTTTTTACCGTCGTGCTGAAATAAATAACTTAGGTCAAAACCACAGCTCTGACCGCGGTGGGTTTACGTATCTCGTGAGTCGTCTTTCTATTTCTCTTCCCTTCCTCTGAAGCAAACCCGTCTTTATTTGAGTGCTTTCTCGGTTAAATGGCTTGTAGTGTTTTTAAGTTCATATATCAGGATATATGGTCTCGACACGATGCCTTTGTAGGAGGTTGTGAGATATAAATATGGAAGACGATGTCCCCTGAAAAATCATTTAATAAATAAAATTTGACAGCTCGATTTTTCGGTAACAGTTAATGTTGGCCGCCCACCTCAGATACCCCTAGCCACAGAATTCTGTCTTACGTAACCGGTGGTATTGGTTTAGTCTCTAGTTAAAGTTTGGTCTTCGTTTAGTTCAACTTCCTTTTAGATCGTTTTGTTTAGTTTAGCTTAGTTTAGTGTATATTAGTTATTGAAGTACATTTATATAACTCAATTAAAAGCTTATCTAAATTAAACGTAAAATTAAAGTAATAAACTAAATTAAAAATTAAAAAACAAACTAAACTAAAAGTAATAAAGGTAAAAGTAACCAGAGGTCCGGGATCTAGAGGTAAAGAATGTGGGCGATCAAATTGTCGGTTTTTCAATTCCCCGCATTCAGCTTATGCTAAAACATAGGCCTCAGCTGTAGTTAACTTTTATGTTTGCCTTATTTTTTCCGTGTTCTAGCAGATTGCAACATGGCCAAAATAGGAAAAGGTGTGCAGCTGGGTCTGTCCTGGGTGAAGACAAAAGCTGGCGACCTCCCGGACGGTGCCATTGAGACACAGCCCGGCGTCTACGTATGTCGTGCCTTACACGAGGGTGAACAAATTCCCGGCAAGTACGTTCCACGACTTTCCCTCGCCTACATCTCTTACGGTGGCGCGGAACTCCGAGAGACGGAATGTGAAGTTCTTTGCGACACTCGTTGCCCTGGACAAGCTTGCTGGTAAGCACAATTATCTAGCCGGATGCCCTG